TCTGCTAACTGGTACCTTGTGCATTTTTGACAACTGAACAATTTTAGTCTTTTTGGCTCTAAACAGCTCTACTTTTTTGTCCAGTATTGACGCGTTTGTGACAACATTATTCGGTTTAATGGTTACGCATTACATTATCCCTCCAGTACCCAAGATGACAGAAGGCAAACCCAGAGTTGACGGTGAATATATTTTAGGTCTTTTCGTGGACAGCCGTTTCTCTTCATGTATATTTGAGTCTAAAATAAAATATCATGTATACGTAATATAATGTATGTCAACGATTTACTGTACGGTATACACTGACGTTTGTTCTGCTTGAAGTGGTCCTTCCAAAGTGTTCTTGCGGCCATTTCATTTTGTCGTCAAATTCTTGCATAACCTGCAAGGCAGTGGTATCCTGTATCTCGATTAGCTTTGACTGACTGATGAAACGTTCACCAAAACCGAAACAGCTTAATGGTCGATGGTCAAACGCCTTTCAAGAAACTTTGTGTTGACCAGAAGCCAGTAATAACGATGGTCATAACCACTCACAAAGTCTACACTCACTGGATGTTCTATTATTCAGGACGACAAAACGAAGATCTTGAGCAAATGAATAAAATTCACTTCAATTAGTGCAGGAAAGATCGACTCAGACTTGTGCAATGAGAAAGACTTTTAGAATTCCGCTATCTTGTTGGTTCTTCTTACAGCCTGTACTGAACAATGATGATGGCGTGACCGAAGTGTTTTCCTGCGGAAAACAATCATTGGTATTTGACTATTCCCTTGAATCTCAAACGCTTAGGCACTCAATAACACAAACCAAATGGGAAAGCAAGACTGTCAAGTAGAAGCGTGTGCAAATTGTGGCTAGGGGTGCTTAGTATCCATAAGATTACCACTGGGTGATGAAAGTGCAACCCACCAGTCACTGGTGTGTTTGTGTGTGTGTGTGCGCGCGCTAAGCAAGAAGCCTGAGGGATTTGTGGGCCTGCACTGCTGACCGGATCGCTGACACGTTTCGGTTAATGCGGTGTGACCCACAGAAG